AAGGAAAGGGCCCAGAAGATTTATGATATCTTTAATGAGATCGGGGTTGAAAAAATCAAACGAATTCAGTCTTTTACAGCTACAACAATAGCAAATATATCCCAAGATGACATTGATTTTGTATTAGCCAAACTTTCGGTAATTCGCGCCGATTTTAAAAAAATAGAGGCAAAGCCTGTAATAACCCATTGTAAGGTCACGTGACGTTGTGACAAGCTGTCACAATCTATGTAATAAAATTTAATCGTATTAGTATTCTTTAATAAATTCATTATCTGTCTTGTCATCTGACATCTTTATTATAAATATATATTAACCTGCTGGCTTTACTAATTATTTATCGCAACAGCGAGATGCCATACTTCACGAATCCGTGCACATGATACATTATATTTTTTAGCTAGATTTGATAATGCATTTATTGTACCTTTAGCCGTAATTATAACACTAATTGCTTCGGGTGATAAGCGCATTGCATCCGATCTTAATCTTCTAACCATTTTATATGCGCAAAAAATAAGTTATATCATATTTCGGAAAATGTTAATCCGCATGTATGTGATCGCGGAAAATGATTTATCGTTACATATGCATTGTCGAAGTCAACTTATGCTTTTATACTTACTATGTGGATTGAATTCTGATATTTATTTGTATAGCAATAAAGATGATAAGCTTTTTCACCGCAAAATTCGCCACTACCCCAAAAACCCTCTATATGATTTCTTCATTTTCTTTTTTATTGTTTTTATTGCATACGGGATATGTTTCTGGACAATCATTCTGTTCGATTGGTATAATCCCGCTTCGAACATTCTAGACTAAATGATTATTCAGGCCAATAGTGCAATTATGACGTAATTTCACTTCAATATTAACTAATCAAATAAATTTATGAAACTAATCAACTCATGTCCGCTTCTAACGACAAAAAGAAAGGTAAACGCCATAACTGCATTTGAATATTCCAAACTATACCGTTTCTCAGTTATTAACTTTGTTACAGGAAAAAAGAGTGTATTTAAGATACCCAAGCTTTTGAAAAATATTAAAAAGAGAAAAAAGGTTCGGTTCTGTCATTTAATTTTGGGTTATTAAATTGAATTCATTTTCAATAAACGCTTAATGATATAACGTCCATTCAGCCCAAAGCACTGAATCCTTCTGTGCCCGAAATATCCAATCCACTTGAGACGGTTGATTCCCCCGAAATGCCGAGTCCTTCTGTGCCCAGTTCACCTGAGACAGTTGATTCCCTTCATAAATATGAAACAAGTCCTGGGCAAGCCCAAAAGTTTCTAGGTAAGGCTGAAATTTTCAGAATGATTACAATCAATATAATGGCAGTGTTTTAATATAATGCTTTTTGTAGATCGTGTCGGCTCGGACTTCAGATGGCCTATTTCAATGAATGACATTGATAGGGGAACGGTTTTTTTTTACATAGCAGATGACAGTGCGGTGGAATTTGATGATGAAATGGGGTTTAATATGATCTTCTTCTATGAAAACCTAGATAAGGGTACGTTTGATGAGCATAAAGACGACTGGGTATTAATATATAAACAAGAAATTATAAAGTATGACCCAGAATGCATGAAAAATGAGTTAGCGGATCTCGAAGAAGAGATGCCCGGTTCAATCTACTTTCCAGTAGATCAAAGGCGTCATGAAGATCTCGTGAAAGTTTTACCAGCAAGAACAGTAATAGCACGTCGTACCGAAAATGAACACATGGTCTGCAATTTGTATGGCTAAATTTTTCCAATGATGCAAATACGTATTATAAATATGTATTTATTTTTATTTACATTTTTTAATAAAGGTCAGGATCCAAGTAAGAAAATTAGGAACAACAAATTCTGTTATAATTGATTATAATTTTCGTGATCCTGTTGAGGGAAATAAATTGTATAAATCTGTTATTGATTCTGGCGCGCCGGAGACAATTCTCCCTTATAATGTCCGTTCTATACTTGGAAACAAAGGGTGGAATCCTCACCGTTTTCGTGCCACAGGTTACGGATCTCCCTCTCTTGTTTTTGTTGCAACAGAAACATTCGAAGTGGCAATTGGTGATAATGATACTTGGAGTAAATGGGTAAGGACAAATACCTTAAGAGTATGGCAAAGAAAGCCCGGAAATCATATTGATAGTTCCCTTGTTGGATGTGATGTGTTAAACCAATTTTTCTTTGTGCATCAGCCGGATCAAGGTTATAAGTTCCTAAGAGCTACAGACGAAGATCCTTTAACCAATTTCATTAATGGTCTTATTTAATATTTTTATACTTAATTTATTATTTTCATTAGCAATCTTTCCTAATATTCTTAGACTTAATAGACTTTGCAATTTATTACTTTGCATATTAATGCTCAAATTCCGATAATGTAAACTGCATGATATCCGCTTCTGTTTTAGCATAAATTCCGATGTATTTTTATTTTACTATACCAATAATAAAAAAATGTATTCAATGATCACGAAACCCGCAAAAGTAGGTTTAATTAATTGTACACGTCCTTATAAATTGCCAATAATTAATTAGAAAATCCAAGTATTGGTATAAATTTTCGCGCAACATAATTTTTAAGACACATTACCATTAGATATTTTTTTTTCAATAATCTTCAATTTGTCTTTGATAAATTATAACATTTCAGTCACCGTTAAACTTTTGATATATAATATTCGTTATAGCTAAATAACGATCTCGGAAGTAATATAAAACGTAACAAATATAATAAAGTTTTTCTATGATTGGTCAATTTATGAATTCTGTTAACTATGTTGGACAAATTATTATTATTATTGACAAGATTTAAATTACCTATGTATTTTTGCGCTGAAATGTAATTCATGTATTAATAAATGCGTTATAAAATATTCATATATATTAAACACATAAATATTAAGTTATATATTATGAATTGATTATAGGTCGAAAACTTTCTTGATTAACGAAGTCTTTAATTTTTTGTATTCTTTGGGGAATGACGATTTCTGGATTTTCATCGTACCATATCTCAAGTAAGAAAATTCCGTTATCTTGACATATGCATCTTTTTAGCCGATCACGATTTACAACATCCTC